GTTGACGGATCTCCTCCGGCAGGTCGTTCCACAATTTGGGGGCAACTATTTAGGCCACCATAAATGTAGATAAAGGTGCTGCATAATGGGGCGAGCTCCTGTCACTAGTCTCAGCTTCTTCCAACCTAGCAGGTAGATAAATTTATGCAAGTAGATAAATAGGTACCACTTTGGTGGGAAGGTAAACAGCGTTCTGTGCAATCATGCTGGCTATATGATTGCAGAGTACTCTCTGAAAAAGCTGGCTCTTCGGCTTAGTAATGGAGATGGTCAGACATGACTTGACAACCTTGTCAACAGGCAATACTACCTTTTTAAAGGTAGACACAGTTCTTCAAATAACCTTGTCATTCTTTATTTGTCAAATAAAGTCAAATAACCTTGTCATCCCGTTCGCCACTACCAAGTCATATTGGTAGTGGCGAACGGGATGGCAACAGTAAGAGCAGAGGGGGCTAGGCCACTTAGGGCCCTTCTTGTTCAGATCTACTTTATAAAACACTCAGAGGAAATGCTCTCACCTGCCCCTCTTTCCACTTCCTGTCCTCTTTCTTACTCAGGAGAAAACCTTCTGCCAGGGCCACTGCCTGAGAAGAGGTCTCTGCTCCACATTCCCTGACCCAGCTCTCCATTTCCAGGGGCAGGATGCTCAGGAACTGTTCTAGGACCACCAGATCCAGCATCTGGTTTTTGGTCTGTTTCTCTGGCTTCAGCCATTGACAGCAGAGATCATGAAGGAGGCTGCAAACCTCTCGGGGTCCCTCGGCCTCCTCATAAGAGAACTGCCTGAAGCGTTGTCGCTCTGTGTCTGAGTTGACAATGTCTTCTCCCAGGAATGTCTGCATCGTTTCTTCCCAGAATTCCTCACTTCCTTCACTCTTGATGGCATCAGAGCCTTTTTGTTCTTCAGGGCCAACAGTCTTTTTCATCCATCTTTGACCCTTACTCCAATTAATTTATATTTATATTTATGTTTTATATTGACATTTTTAAAACATCCAACCAATTAATCCTCCAGTAGAGTCAAAGCACTGCTACCTCTTTTTTCTCCGGCCAAAGACTCTCCAAACAGGTCTTCCAGAACTCTGCAAAGCAAAGACATTGTTGTTTTAAGAAATAAAGAAGATATATGGAAAATTCTACCTATATGACTGCAATTATGTGTTTTCCACAGGATTCCTTCTATTGCTGCCATATCCTCCATAATCTTCTCTGACACAAAAGTACATTCAAAATGTTCAAATTAAGGGTATCATTTGGTTCAAGAAATCCCGAATTGTTAACTATCTGGCTTTTCAATCTCAACTTAGTACATGCATTAATGAAGACTAGGCACAGTAACAAGAACATAAGATTTCTCCTTGGTTTAAACATCCTTGGTATTATTTATTTATACGTTGCCTTTCTCTCTAACCTTAGAACTGAAAAATGAACACAGATAAATCCCCACAGCAGTGTAAAAATGTAAAAACTTAAAATGTGAGTAAACCTTCAACAGTATTTCAAATTAAATGCAATTTTAAAACCTATGTATCACAAAGCATGAAACTGCAACCATATATAACATACTATCCCTGACCTAAGGACATCACCATGGGGGCCATTCCTAGATCTCAGGTTTTGGCCCAGAAATGGCATGCCCTGTGCCTTGTCTGAACTGGCAACCCTGTAAGGCAGGGGTAGGCAACCTTTCCCCTTTAAGGGCCGAGG